CCCCTTAGGGACATTCTGGGACTCACCTGGGGCGGGAACTGCTCATCGGTGAGGGTGAGGATGTAGCTGATGGTGGAGTTCTCATAGTCCAGGCAGAGGCGGGCGAGGAGCAGCAACAGGGCCGGGGGGGCGGCGGGGGCCCCCCGCTCGGCCGGGCCGTCAGCAAAGCCGCGGGCAGTGCGGCACAGCCAGCGCACGAAGGCCACCACCAGCCCCTCGCGCACCGCTGCCACGCAGAACTCCCCCTGTGCCACAAATGGGGGGGTCACACTCCAACAAAGCCCCCCAAACTGCCCCAAGCAGGCTCCAAACCGGTCACTGAGTGACCCCCAGCCTGCCCTTTTCTGCCCCCAAAATGCCCTATGCCAGCCCCAGATTGTTCCAGAGACCCCCTGACTACCTTTGGCTCCCCCATCCTGCACCACGGCAGCCCCAAGTCACCCCCCGAAGCGCCCTGTCTCGCGGTGCCCCACCTTGAAGTAGGGCAGGCTGGCGAAGGCAACGTCCCTGGCGGTGAAGAGCTGCACATAGGCCAGCACGGCCTTGAGCTGGCCCAGCACGGAGGCAGCCAGCGTGGCCAGCAGGTCGGGCAGGCCGGGCCCCTCCTTGCCGGGGGGCCGCGGCGCTGCCAGTGCCTGGCGCACGTCGCCCAGGCAGCCCAGGAAGAAGGTCTGCAGGGCGCGCAGGTAGCGGTCGACGCGCTCACGGGCGGCCCGGGCCACCAGCGCGGCAGCAGCGGCGGAGCCCTCGGGCAGCAGCTCCAGCAGCGCCCGCAGCCGGCGGTGGAACCGGTCCAGCGCCCGCACCAGCAGCGAGGTGTCACCCAGGCCGCGCTCCAGTGCCAGCCGCCGCTCCAGCAGCTCGAAGTAGCGTGTGGCCAGCGCAGCAGCGAAGGGCTCCAGGCGCCCTGCGTCCCCCCCGAAGAGCGTGCGGTACGAGCCGGCCAGCTGGCACAGCGTGCCCACAAAGGCCGAGCTGCCGCGGTCCACGAAGTCCAGGATGTCGGAGGCGGGTGGCGGCGTGGTGGCCGCGCCAGAGGGGTCAGAGGCGGGCAGCTCAGCCTCCAGCGTGGCCAGCTCAGCCTCCAGGCGCGCGCCCGCCTGGCTCAGGAACTCCTCGCTCAGCTCCTCGGGAGGCTCCTCCAGCTGCAGCAGCATCTCCACGCATTCGGTGAGTTCCTTGGGGTCCAGCGTCTCCTCCCTGGGGCGGGCGAGTGGGTGTGGGAGGTTCCAGGGTTAAGGGCGGGCACAGCGGGAAATGGGGAATAAGTGATAAAAGTCATCGGTAGGCCCCAGAGTGAACAGTAGTTGGTCAAAAAATAAAGGGGGAAAACCACTTAATAGCACCAGGAAGTTCCAACAGTAACAGAGGTTAATAAGGTACTCCCTGAAGGTCATCAGTAGGCTCCATTTCCCACGGCTGCCATCAGTAGGCTCAGAGTGAACACCCCCAGCCCCCCATTTCCTGAGACTGCCATCAGTAGGCTCCAGAGTAAGCATCTCCAAATCCCCATTTCCCAGCAGTGCCATCAGCAGGCTCCACAGTGAATACCCCAGGCCCCCATTCCCAGCCCTCAGCAGGCTCCAGAGTGAGCACCCCCAGGCCCCCATTCCCAGCCCTCAGCAGGCTCCCGAACGGACGTACCGGAGGCGTGTGCGGAGGCGCTGGGCCAGCTCTGCCATGATGGCGTGGCTCTCGTCCTCGATGGCGCGGAAGGAGGGCAGGTGTCGGTAGTGCCGGAGCACGGCGCGGGCACGGCCGTAGCAGCGCAGGGCTCGCGCCGGCTCCGTGCCCGCCCAGCGCCGCAGCCGCCCCGGCACCTCCACCAGCGCCTGCAGCTTCCGCAGCAATGCCTGCACCCCTAGGGAGACATGGGGCTCAGGGAGATGGGGCCGGGAGGGCTGGGTCTGCCCCCCAGGGCCACTCGTCCCCCCGCCCCGTACCGGCCAACTGGGCGCCGCGGCGGTGCCGGTCCTGCAGTGCGGCACTGACGCGGGCGCTCGAGGCGCTGATGGCTGCCATGTTGGCCGCCAGGTCGTCCATCTCTGCTTCCATGTGCCGAAAATCCACCTTCATCTTCCGGATGGTGTCTGGGGGGGGGGCAGGAGACAAGTGCTGGGTCCCTCGGCTGCCTGCCACCCCCCCAGACCCTCTGGGATGAATGTACCCCAAATGTCACCCCCCAGAGTAGGCTGGGTACCGAGGTGGCTACCAGCAGAGTGAACGCCCCCAAATCCTCCTTTCCCAGTGCTGCCCTCAGCAGGCTCCAGAGTGAACATCCCAATATCCCACCACTGCCCTCAGCAGGCTCCAGAGTGAACATCCCAATATCCCAGCGCTGCCCTAAGCAGGCTCCAGTGGAGCCTCTTACCGGTGGCAGAGATGAACTTGTTGTAGTTCTCGTAGAGCAGGGTCTGCATGTCGCTGTCCAGGGCGCGGATCTCCCGCCCCAGCGCGGCCTCCCGGGCCAGGAGCTGCCCCAGGGGACACTCACTACGCACCTGGGGGGGGGAAAGAGCTGCTCGACTGTCCCACACCCCGCTGTCCCCTCTGCAGTCCCTTCTTTACCCCCAGGAGCCCCCGAATTGCCCCCTCGAGGTCCTCAACTTCCCTGCAGGGCCCACTCGGGATCCCCAGCTGCCCCCCAGGAGCTCCCCCCGTAGTTCTGATTGCCCCCAGACTCCCCACCCTTGCTGCTCCAGAGCACCCCAGTACCATTTTTATAGGGAGTCATACAGTGTCCTACAGGGTTCCTATAGAAGCAGATCCATAGGGTCCCCACAGAGGATCTTTTTGGGGTCTCTTCGGGGCGCTGGGGGAGTCAATCGGGGGGGGGTCCCCGGGTCCAGGAGGGTGTAGGGGTTAAAGGTCACGGGGTCAAAGGTCACCTTGTTCATGAACACCTCCGGGTCGAAGTGGGGCCCGTTGATGTCGGTGGGGTCCGGGGCCGCCTCGGCCGCCTCGGCCGCCTCGGCCGCGGACGGGCCGTAGTAGCGCTGGAGCGGCCCGTGGGGACGCCGCCACCCGCCGCCCCCGGCGGCGGCCTCGGGGCTGCCCCCGGCGCCGCTCCCGGCCCCGTCACCCGCCGCCACCGCCGCCATCGTTTCCTCCCCGGCCGCCGCTTCCTGCCTCGCGTCACTTCCGGCACGGCGGGCGGTTGCCGTGGCGACGGGGACGCGGCCCGGACATGGCGGGACATCCGGCAAAAGCCCCGTTACCGGGACCTGCGGCGGCCTGGGGACAAGGACCGCCCTGGGGACGGAGACATGGATGGAGACACCAGCCCCCAGAGGGTGAGCAGCCAGTGGCACCCCCACCCCTGGCCCGTGTCCCCCGCGGGCAGGTCTGGGGACACCGGCCTCCCCAGACCTGCCCAGGTGTCCCTGTGCACCCCCATCCTCGTTTCCCCGTGACACCGGGCGCGTCACAGTGCTGCGGGACCCCCACCTCCCCGGAGGGTTCTTCTCCAGCCCCGGGGTGACTCAGATAGAGCCAAGACAATCAACCTTGTACGAGGAACAAACACTCGGACTAGAAGGTCTAAAATCAGCTTTATTTACAGCAGGAAAGGCAAAGCAACCCCCCCCGGCTGCTCCAGCAGCCTTTTGTCAGGAGTCGCCTGCTCCAGGAATCAGAGGCCATCGATCCTTCCCGAAGGGAAGGAGCCTGGAGCTGCCACACAGCACCAGGGAAGCAGGAAGAACCAGAGGAAGTCCCTGCCGCCTCCTTTCTCCTTGCTTTCCTTGCAGGAATTTTCCCAGATGTGGAAAAGAACACACCTAATCCAGCCAGGGTATGTTTTGTGAGCAGTTTGGTACAAGGGACAACATTCCTTTTGCAGGTGCCTTAGCTCCAGGACAAAGGAATTCCCGACAGGAAGAGAGAGAAGGCAAAGGGAACACCCAGCCACCCATGATGAGGCAGAAGAGAGACTAAATCAGAGAAGGAGGAAGAATGACTGGGCCCTGGTTGTTACAGGGAGAGAGAGGCAAATAAGCAGAGACACCCCCCAAGGCAAGGCAGAGGTTCCTCTGGTACCTTCTAAATTCATAAAACAAATCAGCAAATCCCTCCTGGACTCCCACTGTGGGGGAATTCCACCTCACCTCAACCTCTGCTTCATTGGCACAGCATCTCCCCAGAGTGCTCCACAACAACCAAAATTAACTGGACCAAGAAAGATAAAGAGGGCCAAGCCAGGATTTAATCCAAGTTCTGCTCCTCTGCAGCTCTTCCCTCCAGCGATCTGAGAGTATCCAGGCCCAGATCCATCACTAATTCCGTCCCAAAGCAGCACAGGTTTCCTTTCAGCCCAGGGACACCAAGGATAAGTTCTGCAAGTCCCGGGAAAACTGAGAGCAGCCACGCGGAATGTTTAGTCACACACACTGGCACTCCCAAACCCCGTAAATCGGCATCCTAAACCCTACAGCTCCCGAAGTTCAGCTGGCTTACAAAACCTCAGAGTACGAACAAGTCCCTGGATTTGTGAGCCCCACCTCAGCAGTTCCCAGGCTTGCTGAGGGAGGTGACGGGGAAGTGGCCCTTGAGAACAGCCCGCGGCACATGAACAAGGCAGGAGGTCACAGCCCCAAATCCCTGTTAGACACGGGGATCCCTTTGGAGACAAATGTTCTTGCTTTGGAAGAGCTGTCTGGGCCCAGCCGGAGTGACACGAGGAGCTGGTGGGAGGAAGAGTCACTTGGAAGGAGGAGGTCTGGCTGGAGGCTCCTCCCGGGAAGGTGTGGATAGGCCTGTGGGTGCCGCAGGTCCGGCCTGTGGCACCTGCCCAGCTCGGGGCCCTGTGACACCTGCCCAGCCCGGCTCAGGTGCCTGCCCGGGACACCAAGTAGTAGAGGATGAAGAAGATGAGGATGAGGGCCACAGACACGGCGCAGAGCAGCCGGCGGTTGTCCCGCCCGGAGCGCGCCATGGTGGAGAAGCGCTTCACGCTGCCCGTCAGCAGCCCCGTCACACTGAGGAAATCCGAGTCCTGTGGAGGGCAGAGACAGCCAAGGTGGAGGCATCGTAGAGTCGTGGAATATCCCGAGTTGGAGGGATTCCACAAGGGTCATCCAGTCCGACTCCTGGCCCTGCACAGCACACCTGAACAACCTGACCGTGTCCCTGAGCTCTGGCAAGTTTGTGGCTACAACCACTGCCCTGGGAAGGCTGTTCCAGTGCCCAGCCACCCTCTGGGGGAAGAAGTTTACCCTAATACCCAACCTAATACAACTCCAGCCATTCCCTTGGGTCCTAGGATCAAGCCCATCCTACTGTGCCACACATGAAGGAATCCTTGAGGAATCTCCCACCTCCTGACTAAAAACATTCGCACAGAAGCTGCACAGCAGCCACCTGTCTCCCTCAAGGTCCTTCCCTTCCAGTGCTCCGGCATCAGCACCGTTCCCACCTTTCTGGAGCTTCTACTCATGTTGCTCCTGAAATGCCTCAAAACCTCTTCTGTAAGAGCAGCGCAGTTTGGTGCCCATTTGGGGCTTGTCCCTTAAGGGCTCTTGCCATCCCACCTTTTATCCCAATTCCCTGATTTGTTGGGAGTTGTGTGGCAGACCAGGACACCCAACAGCTTGTGGGACCCAGAGCATCACCTGTGCTCCCTCTGAAGACACCAGTGTCCCACAAGGCCCTGCAGGGAGCCTGCCGGAGGTGCTGGAGTTCTGGAATAAGTCCTAGGTTCATACAGCAGCACCAAACACCAAGGGAGAGCTGAGGAACAGCCCGGAGGCAGCTCTAATCCCAGCAAGGAGGGACCTCCATTGGCATTTCCCAGGTGTGCTGTCCCACATCAGCCCTTCAGGTGCCAGATACCAACCCCAGACAAGGTGATGCTGCACCTGCCAAGCTATCCAACATTTACAGAGCAGTAAATCTGCTGGGAACGGGTTTAGTTACAAATGCCTGGCATCGGGGACCGCAGGGATCTACCGTAGTGTGCCAGCCTGAGCTGCCATCCCGGTTTCCCAGCAGCACAGAAAGCCCTGTGCCCCATTCCCCAGGTCCTTACCATGCCATCCAGGTAGCGGTTCTGTTCCTCAGCATCCTTGTCGATATCCAGAGCCAGCTGCAGAACAAGGGAGGGAACGAGCATTCAGGAGCTTGTCATGTACAGAGAACCTCTAAAATGAAAGTTATCAAAGCAACCTGCTGCTTTCCTGGCTCCTACAGACACACAGGGGCTTGTCTGGGACAGGAACAAGGAAAATGATTCTCATTTCCCTGTAGGGTTGTTGAACTTCTCTACCTCTGCAGCACTGAAAGTAAAGCCTGACTGTCTAAATCTGTCAGGGTGTTTAATCCCTGGGATACAAGGGCAGGAATTCAGAGTCTGCCCTTCTACACTGTGAGTCACTGACTTCTTTTGTGGTTTCTACTATTTTTTAAACAATAATTTATAATAATGTTATAATTATTACAACAATTTTATAATCGTATAACAATAATTGTTAGAATAATTATAATGCTATAACAATTTTTATAATAATGAAAAACAGAGCTTAAATCTCTAATCCCCAAATCAAAGTACTTGATATTAAGAGCAAACCAGTCTTAAGATCATTTGCATAGAGACACAGGTATTTTCCAAAATTAATCTCCCTGCCTTTTTATTGTGAATTTTTTCCCAAGGAGGTGAGCTTGGCAACACCCCTCTGTGCAGGGGCGTTTACGTTTTATGTTTTATGCTTCTTTGTTGATGTTTCTCTCTGAGCCTAAAACTCCTTTCCTGAGCGTCAGATGATGTTGTAAACCTCAAAGGGAAAGCGGGAATTTGTAAAGGTGTGAAAATTAAACCACTGTATCACCAACTAAGAGTTGTTAATGCACAGGAAGCCTCTGCAGAGCACAGCTGAGGGTGCTGGGGCACTGGCACAGGTTGCCCAGAGAAGCTGCGGCTGCCCCATCCCTGGAAGTGTTCAAATCCAAGCTGGAGCAACCTGGGCTAGTGGAAGGTGTTCCTGCCCACGGCAAGGGGTGGGACTGGATGGGCTTTAAGGCCCCTTCCCGCCCAAACCATTCCGTGGTTCTGTGATCCCCTGCAGCACCCCCAGGTAAGCAGAGCCCCTCCTTCCCCATGCCCCCCAGGGTGCCCTGGGTACTCACGGATTTCAGCCTGGTGACCTTGCTGGCCAGGCTGTCGGCCATCCGCTTGTTCTCCACATCCAGCAGGTCCTCCATGGCGCTCGGACTCTGTCCTGGGGGTAAAAAGGAGGAGCACACGTTGTACCTGCCCTGGCACAGGATCTCTGGCTGTCACAGCCCCGCCTTGCACCTCTGGAACCCTCCCAGATCAGTTTGGACAAAACCGCCCCAAACTTTCCCCAAACGAACTGGGACAGGATCCCTGACTTGCCCCCTGAATTGCCACCATGGCCCAGCAGTAGCAGCAGCAGCAGCAGCTTGGGGGCTTCATGCCCAGCGACATCCAGGGATGAGATTTGGGTGAAGCCGGGCAAATCCAGGGCTCTTAACCCCTCATCCGTGTTGGGGTCTCCTGGCATTATGACCTGTTGTGGGGCAGCTGGGGGGGTCGAGAGGGGAACTAAGTGTTCAAGGGGGCAGTTAGGGGTTCTAGGGGCAACTGAGGATCCTAGAAGGGCCCCGGAGGAGCAGTCAGGGATGCGGGGGGGAGCAATTATGAGTTCAATGGGGAGGGTAGTTAGGGATTCAAGGGGGGGGAATTAGAGGTTCGAGGGGGCAGTTAGGGGTTCAAAGGGTCAATTAGGGGCTCAAGGGGGCAGTTAGGGGTGTGGGGGGCAATTAGGTGTTCGGGGGTATATTTAAGGGTTCAAGGGACGGCATTTAGGGTCTCAAGGGGGGCATTTAGGGGTTCAAGGGGTAGCCACTTAGAGGATCGGGGGGGGCAATTGGGCGTTCGAGGGGGGCAATTCGGGGGATCTAAGCGGTAAATCGGGGGACTGCGGGAGGTCCCGTGGGGTGCAGCGGGGTCGGGGGGGCACTTGTGCAGCCGGGCGCTCCCCTTCCCCCGGCCCCTTCCAGCCCCCAAACCTGTCCCTGTCCCCTCACCTCGGCCCCGCTCCGCCATGGCCGCCCCGGTCCGTCCCGCCCCGCCGGGCGGAGCCGCCACGAAATGTCCGCCGGTCCTTCCTCCTCCTCCTCCTCCTCCTCCTCCTCCTTCCCCCCGGCACCGGGACCCTCGGGCCGCTCCCCCGGGCCGGGGCGGAAGGGGAGGAAGGGTCGGCGCTGTCCCCCGAGGGATCCCGGGCCGCAGGTACGGCCAGAGCCCTGCCCGGGCACGGGGGCGAAACGGGGGCGTGGCGGGGAAAGTGGGGGCTTGGGGGCAGATATAAGGGCTTGGGACAAAAGTAGGGGTTTGTGGACATAAAAAAAGGGGGGTTGGAATGCGCCCAGATGTCGGGGGAATGAGGTGGCAGGGGGAGGAGCCAGCCAGGAGGTATGGAAAAGGGGGATATGTGCAGTGGTCCGCTGGCTCATGCCATCGCCCCAAAAGCGGAGCGGGTCCCCTCCATCCCAGCCCCTTGGCATGGGGATGCTGTGTCCCTGCCCCGGGCCAGCCCAGCCACCTGTCCCCGTGGCTTTCCGCCTTCCACAATGCGGGATTTGCCCTTGGTCCCCCCAGAACGCCCCTCTTTGGGTGCACGGGCAGGCGGGGATACCCCGCGTCATCCCCAAAGCCCGGGGACTCCCGGTGCGGGGTCCCGCTTGGTTGAGTTCGGTGTGACCAGCGCGGCCTCATCGCAGAACACGGCCCATGGCAACACGGAGGCTGAACGTGTATCCAAGCCCACCTGTGCACCCAAATCTGCCGGATTTCCCCCCATCGGGAGTCACGTCCCAGCACCGCGGGCTCGCGTGGCTCCCTGAGCCCTTAAACCGGTGCCGTGACTGAAATAATCCCATCTCCCGTGTCCCTGCGCATCTGCTCCCTGGCACTGGCGGCAGGGACATCATCTCCCGGGGGACGGCGGCTCCGGACGCGCGTTTGGGCTGTGCGTGCGGGGATCGGCCATAATCCGACCCTCCACGGAACCCTCCTCGTCTGCTTCCCACCTCCTGGAAAGGTACCTCCGCCTGGAGCCGGAGGATGCTCTCCTGCCCGGCTGCCTCGCCGCTCCATCCCTTGTCACTCCGCGGGAATGTTGCTGGGTTTATTTGTTATTTTTCCCCCCTGTGCGGCAGCAGGAATCAGGGCAACCGGGGAGGAGGAGGAGGAGGAGGAGGAGGCAGGGAGCTATTTCAGGGAGCTGCTGTTATCTGCTCCGCGTTAATCCCCGGCTGGTGGGGGGAAGGCTTTCCCTGAGCGCTTTCCTGGGAGGGCACGTATTAAACATTGAAAAGCAAAGCGAGGAAGAAGAGGATTAGCGGGAGAGAGAGGAAGCCGGTGCTGGCTTTGCTCGAGTTGTCCATCTGCTCCGCTTTTATGGACGCAGCAGCGTGAGCAATATCACTTGGGTTTTTTTTTTGTGTTGTGTTTTTTCCCTCCTTCCTCTCCCCACCCCTTTCTCTCTTCCCTCTCAGATATCTGTCTGCCGAGGTGCTTTTGCATCACCCTGGAAGTCCCCTCGCTCCCAGTTCCGCCGTAGCTGAGCTGTTGGGATAATGGAGCTCAGGGCTGTGGTCACCACGCTGGAAAGCGGGGAGCAGGACACGGTTCTCAAGGTGCTCCAGGTCTACAACCAGGAGGTGAGTGAGCATCAACCCCTCCCTGGTGTCAGGGACTCTTAAAAACATGATTATCCAGATGCCAAGTAAAGCCTGGCAGGGAAATAAGAGTCAGTGTAAGGACCAATTAGGAGAAGCCTTTATGTTGAGACAGGTTTGGGGGTGATAAAACAGGCGGGGAGGAGCTGTAGGTGAAACGGTGTCAGGATTTGCAAGTCAAAGGTGATTAGAGGTGGCTGCACGGCTCTGAATATCAAAACCTGACGATTTGGAAGCAGAGCTGAGAGTGTTTCTAGCCTTAATGTGGGAAAAGATTATCTGTGGGGGTAAATTTCTGCCTGGAAAAGAGGAGACTGAGGGTAGACCTCGGCTGTTTACAGCTTCCTTCCAAGGGGGACCACTGATCTCTGCTCGCTGTGACCAGTGACAGGACCCAAGGGAACGGCTGGAGCTGTGTCAGGGGAGGTTTAGGACAGATATTAGGAAAAGGTTCTTTCCCCAGAGAGTGGTTGGGCACTGAACAGGCTCCCCAGGACAGTGGTCATGGCCCCAAGTCTGCCGGAGCTCAGAGACGGTTTGGACAACGCTCTCAGGCACAGGGTGGGATTGTTGGGGCTGAGCAGGGCCAGGAATGGGACTGAGTGATCCTTGTGTGTCCCTTCCAACTGAGGAGACTCTGTGATTCCGTGAAATCCCGCTTGAAACAGACTCTGGTTGTCAGGGAAATTTCCTCCGGAGGGTTCCCCCGGGAGGGGCTGGCCCTGCGGATCGCTGTGACTCACTCTGCACCAGGCTGGAGTAGGTGGGAAGCCAGCAGGGAAAACCTGAGGAATATTTTGCAGAAGCGTGTGTGAGAGAGGGAGTGTGGAACTGTTCGTAGCAGTCGGATCTGGAATGGGGAGATCTTGGCCAAGGAGGAGCAGACCCCTGTTGAGGACAGCGCTGAGGATTAGCAGCACCCACAGCCGGTGCCACACCAGAGTCATCGAGGTGCAAACAGCGTCTGTGTGACCAGCTCAAGGCCCCAAACCACAGCATTTCCCATGGATACCCCCAGCTGAGTCCTTCACGGTGTATCAGGCATATGGAACTCGAGCCAGAGGGTTTGCTGGCCCGTCTGAAGGAAATGGAGCAGTCAAAGAGGATTATGAAACTGCACATAAAGCCGACATGGCCTGGCATCGCTTTTGCTGCAAGACTGATGGTTCTGTAACCTTTCCTGGGGATTTATTTTAATTCACTGTTGCACACGAGGTTTTTGGTTGCTGGGAATAAACTGCAGCTAAAGCAAAACCCCAGGTATGGCCAAATTACCCCCAAATGGGATTAGAGCCTGCAGAGAGGACGTTCTGGGGGAAGAACAAGCCTGGCTGTCTGCGGAACAAAGCAGTGCTGGGACTGGTAATGTGATCCAGCAGCCTGTGGATGGATCAGCTCACACAGCCTGATGGGAATACACCTGTCCTGCCCCCACCCCTGGGGCTGCTGCTGCTCCTGGGGCATCGCTGTGTCCATCTCTGCTTCCAGGCTGGACAGACCAACGCCATCCCTGGGCTCTTGGTGACTGCACACACGTCATCGGTGTTTTATGGATTTTAAACATTTTTGTTCTCCGTGCTTGGACCAAAGGTTTTCTTGGTGTGAACAAGGATAGCCTCATTCACTGGGAAGTGCTGCTTCTCCCCAGGAACCTGTGGTCTCCTGTGCTCTCAGGTTCCATGGGAGCAGGTGTAGCCAGGAAGGACACTGTCAGCAAAGAACAACCAAAAGGGAGAGAGAAACAGAAATGTTTCCCATGAATGGAGAGCAGGAGTATTTGTTAGGAAGGGGACGGAACGGGGCTGTGGAGATCAGGTCCCTTGTGTTTAAAGAACTTGACCTGGGTAACCACGAAGATCTGTTCCGACATACCAAGGAGACAGCACTTCCTTTGGCCAGGAAAAGAAACAAATAAATATCAAGGAGAGATGTGTACAGCATCAGCTTGGTGGTGTCACTGAGCTGAGGAATTACCAGCTCATAGGGGATATTGAGATTGGGATGAGTACCCACTGTGCTGCTGCAGGATTTAATCTAAATCCGTCCATCAGTTGACCCGTGGCATTCTGCCAGCGCCATGGATCCAGGGATGGTGCCCGTCATGGGAGGGACTGTCGGGAGAAGGTGTGTTTGCTGTTGCAGCATGTTTTGGACCTGCTGCTTTCCAGCAGAATGGCTCTACCCTGGTTCTGTGGAGTTTTAACCTGTTCCTTATTCTGATTTGTTTTGCTTTCTCCACAGAAGTCTCAGTGCTTCACCTTCGAGGATGAGGAGCGGGAGGAGAGGAAGGTAGGCACATGCTCCTTGCTTTATCTCTTTGGTTGGTGTGTAAATCTTGCTACTCCATACTTGTGTCCAGCTGGGCTTGGCAGGCAGCTCCCACAGGGAAAGAAATGAGAGTTTGCCATTAACTTGGGCAGGGAATGGTGCGCTCAGAGCATCTGGCTCTGGTTTTTCCAGCAAAGGTTGGTGTTTTGGATAAAAGTCAGCATCCATCTGGCATTAGCAGCAGTCCTGTGATCCATACAGTCCCAGCCACGGGTGTAATGGGTGTGATCCCCAGGCTCCCAGGAAGGGTGAGGGGTTCCACTGGGAGCCAGCAGTGGGATTTGCCTGGAGCTGTGTATTAGCAGATGCTTTAAGCTGGTGTGATCTGGCACTCGGAGGGAAGGAACTGCTTGTTCCTGCTCCTGCAGCTCTTCGTGCCGGGCCGGCCTTGTCCTGGCTGCTCTGCTGCAAGAACAGCTCTGGGTTTCCAGGATTATTTTCCAGCTGGCTCAGTTCTGTGGTCAGTTCACTGGTGGATGGTGCCAATGCCTGTGTTAGCACAGCAAGTGCAGACCAGGCGACCTGGGTGGAGAACAGGACCTCCTTTGGCTGAGCCAGTGCCAGCTGCTGCCACATGGAGCGTGCCCAGGCACAGCCTGAAGTGTGGGATTGGATCTGACGAGATCCGAGCTCTTTGCTGCCGGACATGGATCCGGGCACAGTGTCCTGCTTTTGGGGTGCATGCCATGAAATATGAGTCGAGCATCACCACCAGTTCCTGGTGCTCAGGTGTCCTGATGGTTCAGCCCTGGGGTCTCTTTCCCCTGAGCCAGCCCAAGGCTTTGGTCACTGTGTCTGGATCTGAAACTGTCTCTGCCTCCTGTGTGGGAGGAACAGAGAAACAGCTGTATTTCCTTATTTCCCCAGAGTGTGATCATGGGGCACTCCAGGAGCCTCACATTAAGGACTGAAGTTCCTTTTTCCTTCATTCCTTCCTTCAGTAGCTTCATTTCGCCAGGGGAGGTTCAGGTTGGACATCAGGAGGAATTTCCTCACGGAAAGGGTTGTCAGGCGCTGGAAGGGGCTGCCCAAGGAGGTGGTGGAGTCCCCATCCCTGGAGGAACAACTAGACGTGGCACTCAGTGCTCTGGGCTGGGTGACAAGGTGGGGATGGGTCACAGGTTGGACTCGGTGGCCTTGGAGACCTTTTCCAACCTAAAAGGTTATGGTTAATGGCTGCAACCTTAACGATTCTGTGATTATCCTGAAGTGTAACCGATGGGGCTGCGTTTAGCCAGTTGCAAACTTCATTTTTGGGTTCCTTTCCTCTTGTAACGTCACAGAGAGGTTTCAAACGTGTTGTGTTAGAGGTCTGGTGAGCTCTCACCTCACCCAGCTGTGTGTGGGTGTTACTGATGTGATATGAAGTGTTGCCACACGTGGTTGAGCCCAAGCTGCCCATGGCTGTGAGGCCTTTCCTGTGCTCCTCTGTGACTCACCATTCCCCACAGGGATGAGCTTTGCAGCTCCCGTGAATTGTGTTAGTGGGGCTCTGCCAGTCTGTACCCACGGAGGATCTGGGCCAGTAGGTCTCCAGGCAGCACTGGGGCTAAGGAGATGCTGCTTATTTGAATCTCCTGAGGTCTCTTCACCTCCATTTCCCAGGGCATCACGCGCTCTACTCACCTCCCTTGGGTCCTGTGGCCCTCCCTTGGTGGTTCTCTGATGCCTCTCTCCACCTCTCCATCTGTTTGTGGATGCCCTGGAGCAGGTGCCTCCCTG